GATGAGGTCACCAAACTGCTTAAGACTTATCTGTTCACCTTTGGATAACTGAATAAAATGTATGGTTCTCAAAAAATTAATACTTCCATAACATTGTTACTGAAAGAATAGCTCTCCTTAAAGCTATCAATGAGACAAGCAAGTTGTCTTCTGCCTTAATTCTTTTCTTCTTTTTCTTCTGAGTGTATATGGATTTTCTGGGCTTTACATTTCAGGAAATAGGTCTTTTCTTACAAAAGAATGAGGCAAGGTGTTTTATTATTGTAGTACATCCGCTGTACAGTAGTATCTTTCTTTCAAGACATTAGCAGCTCTATATAATGATGGTGACATAAGCAGCTCTATATAATGATAATGAGAACCATCAGTTCTGCTAAAGTACAATAAATAGAAATTCTCCAAAGATTTTATGCTCTCTCGAAAAAGGAAGAAAAAGAAGGCTCCAATTTTAGGCAGATGTCCCAAAGTAGAAACCTCTCCTTTATCTCAGTTTTGGTATTCAGAACAAAGTTGGCAGAGAGTAGTTTTTCACTAGGATAAATTTTAAAAGGCAAGAGGGACCTCTTTTTTCTTGTTGCTTTTTCCCCCTCTAATTGAAGAGACTAAGATATAGAAAACAGACCGTAGCTAACTGGCATAAAGTTCATCAGCAGTTTTGTCATTTCCCTGGGTTTTTAAAAAGAGAAATAAGGAGCCTTTTCTTGGTGTTTGTGTGAAGTTAATTTGGACCAGTTCCAGGCTTGCCTGGGTGGCAGTGTACAGTGGGAACACAGGCTGCTTTTGGATGGACCAGGGTTTTCTAAGCCAAACCTGTGTTCACCCCAATAATTAGGGAAGGCCTGGTTTGTGCCGTTTTGAAAGCAGTCTTGGAAACGATCACTCAGGCTTCTAAGTCCATTTTGATTCCCGGCCTTCATCTCAGGCATATAAAAATGAAACTCCCCAGGGAGCAGAGGTTCCGTTTCCCTTCTGAGTGAAGATGTGCTACTTGTGAAGCTGAACTGTTTTAATCTGTAAAAAGAGCACTGAAGTGATACCTGGTGTGTCAGACCGAATTTGCTGTGTGTGATTTGTGCGCGTTGGACCATCAGGAATGTAGGTGGGTTGGTTACCAGACTTGGGGCTGGGGGTGGGGGTGGGCCGAGGTTCTGACCCAGCACTTTTGCCAGTCGAGGGGCCTCATGTGCCAGGATGGTGGGGAGCTTTGTCTGATTTACATGAAGGTGCTGTGACCTGTTAAGACAAGAATCTTACCGGAGAGATCTCTTCTACCTTCTCTGTATGCAGACATTTTTCTGTTGTACAGAATGTGGAGAATATGAAACATCTTTGTTTTCTTGGGTTCTTGAAGCTTTTCAGTATTGTCCTTTTGGGCAGATGGGAGTTTGGTGTGACGTTGTCAGAAACAGTAAGGAGATGGGAAGGACCCAGAGACAGGAATGGGGTGGTTGGGACCCAGAGGGAGGAGAGCTGAGGATTTATTCAAGTCCTCTTTCCCCACTGGGTGGGTTCTAATCCACTGTTGCCACTTGTTGACGTGAACCTGCTCTTCAAAAGCTCACTTTGAGACCCATGAAATCGGAACATTTATTGTCATGGCTGCTGGTTAACTTTTTTTTTTTTAACTTTTTATTTTGAAATGATTATAGGTTCTCAGGAACTTGCAAAGATAACAGGGAGGGGTATCACACAGTTTCCCACAGTGGTTACATCTTATAGAACTGCAGTGCAAGTGTACCACCAGAAAATTGACACTGCTGGTGTGTGTGTGTGTGTGTGTGTGAGAGAGAGAGAGAGAGAGAGAGAGAGAGAGAGAGAGAGAGATTCTGTGACATGCTTTCTCCTGTGAGGGTCTGTGTAACCAGCCCATCTCAGTTCCCTCACCTCCAGGATCCTCCAGCTACCCTGGCACAAGTCACCCGCCCTCCTGCTTCCTCTGCCATCCCCAGTCCCTAGCAGCTGCTCATTTGTGTTCTGTCTTTATAACTTTGTCACTTCAAGAATACTCTATAAACGGAATCACATAATAAGTGACCTTTTGAGATTGCCTTTTCTTACTTTGCATAATTTTCTTTTTTTTTTTAATGGTGAAAAAATTTATATTTAGATTTATAGCCGGCTGGACTCAGTTTAGATGATCCTAATTTTGTTGGCAACATCCAAAGCATCATAGTCAGGAGCCAGTCGAATGTATGCTTTCTTCTCTCCATCAGGCCTGATCAAGGTGTTGACCTTGGCCACATCAGTGTCATAGAGCTTCTTCACAGTCTCTTTGATCTGGTGCTTATTGGCTTTGACATCCACAATGAACACAAGTGTGTGTTGTCTTCTATTTTCTTCATGGCTGACTCAGTAGTTAAGGGGAACTTGATGATGGCATAGTGATCAAGCTTGTTTCTCCTGGGGGCGCTCTTTCGAGGATATTTGGGCTGCCTTCGGAGACGCAGGGTTTTGGGTCGTCGGAATGTAGGTGACGTGTGGATCTTCTTTTTTTTCTGACTGTGCATGCCTTTCCACACCGCTTTCTTAGCTTTCGAAGCCTTTGCTTTGGCTTCGGCTTTGGGAGGAGCAGGGGCTTCCTTCTTCGCCTTCGGCGCTATCTTCGTGAAAGGGCTCTGCATAATTTTCTTGTGATCCATCCAGGTTGTTGCATGAATCAAGTGTTCGTTTCCTCTTACTGCCAAGTCCCATTCCATGGTGCAGAGGCTCTCACGGTATGTGACCATTTCTCTTTTTAAGGACTTTAGTGTTCTCCAATAAAAAAATAAAAAATAAATTTAAAAAAAAGGACTTTAGGGTTGTTTCTGGTTCTCGGCTGTTAGGAATAAAGCTACTCTGGACATTCTTGCACAGGTTTTTGTGAGGGCATACATTTCCATTTCTCTGGGTTCATTTCCCAGGAGTGAGATGGCTGGAGTATGGTAAGTATATGTTTAATTTTTTAAGAAACTGGAAAATGGGGATGCCTGGGTGGCTCAGCAGTTGAGCACCTGCCTTCAGCTCAGAGCGTGATCCTGGGGTCCAGGATCAAGTCCCGCATCAGGCTCCTTGCAGCGAGCTTGCTTCTCCCTCTGCCTGTGCCTCTGCTTCTCTCTCTGTGTCTCTCGTGAATAAATAAATAAAATCTTTAAAAAGAAAAAGAAAAACTGGAAAATGCTTTTCCAGAGTGGCAGTGCCATCTCACACCCCCACCAGCAATCTCTGTGTCCTCACCACCATCTGGTGTCATCATTCATTTTGTTTGTGTTAGCTGTTTTATAGTGTGTAACAGGGGTGTGGGGGTTGCATGGGTGGTTCGGTTGGTGAAGCATCTGCCTTGGGCTCAGGTCATGATCCCAGGGTCCTGGGATCCAGCCCCATGTCCAAGCCTACTTCTCCCTCTCCCCCTGCTCCTGCTCTGTCTTCTCTCTCTCAAATAAAATCTTTTAAAAAAAATGAAAATAGGCTCAGTTTTTTTTTCTCTTTCTCTCTCATCTTTATACCTTCTATTTCTTTTCCTTACCATACTAGCTAGCACTACCAATACATATTGATTGGCACTGCTAAACGTGGGCATCCTTGTCTTGTTCCAATTTTAGAGGAAGGGAATCACACCTTCACCATCAGTTACAGCAGTAGCTGTAGGTTTTGTCAGTGTTCGTGAAATTAAGGAAGTTTCTCCTGCATTCTTAGTTCTTGAGCCTTCTTATCATGAATAGGTGTTAATTTTCTTAATTCATAGGTCTTTCTCTCCAGCTAGATTCCAGGTTTCTGGAGATCAGACTCTGCTTCATAAACGTGTTATCCGCCATGCCTAGCTAGGTGCTTTACCCTGAGTAAGCCTCAAACATGTGGGTCAGTAGAAATGGGTCTGGATCCTGATGGCACACGAGTGTGGGCTATAAGGAGGGAACTCACAGGAATGCCTCTCACCAGCAGTCCTGGTCTGCTGGGAAAGATGGAAAAGGAAAGATGGCAGCTACTCTCCCTGGTCCCCATTACCATTCAGCACAGTGGTTCAAGGCAGAAATGGGAGGTGTAGGCACCAAACCACCGCTACAGCAGAGATACAAGGAAGGCAGAACTGATGAATCTGCCCTGACTCGAGTGTTGGAAGTGAAACTTTTTAGGGTAACTGCCAACTACAAACCACTGAGGTGTACACTTTAAATGGGGGAATTGTGTGTTATGTGACTTATATCCAATAAAGCAGTTATTTTTGTTTTTTCAAAGCAAGTGCTAGGTGGGCAGTTAGGTCCTGTGTTCTCTGCACCACGGTCTGAGTTACTGCTCCAATTGTGCTGGGCCTGCCACACCACCCTGGGTCCAAGAAGGCTTTAATGCACAGGCCAGGCCCCCTGCCGTTCTTTGCTGTGTGCAGTGTTCACTGGGTCCTCTCAGAACTCAGAAACTTGCTTGGGTACAGTATTGCTAATTGGGAAACACTACCCTAAGAATGATGAACTGGACCTGCTTCCCGATGGGGCTGTTGTCCCCAAGACCATGTCTCCTGTGGCCTGGACACCTCGGCTCCTATATTTGAGGCAGTTTCTCCATCCCTTTGGCCCATCTGTGAGATAAGGGAGGGGCCAGAAATACATTAACAGTGAGCAAGTAAGCAAAATATTGAAAACGGTTTCGCATCATCACTAGCAGTGGTGGTATTAAATCTAGGATGTACCCCCCCCCGCAACCCCAAAGCCCTGTTTTGGGGATGTGAGGGGAGGCTGCTCAGCTGGTGGTTCATTTTGGTTTTGTCCCATCTCCATATTGCTGGTCACCTTTCTGTGTCTCTCCACTTGCTTTTAGCTGGAACAGGCAGTTGTGTCCTCCTGATGTCAAGGAGCTGCCAGGCGTCAGCGAGTGAAGACCTGGGCACCTTGATGAAACCAAAAGACAGGTTCTGGTTCCCAAGCTGGGAGTTTCCTGCTTGATGACAGTCGATGCCCGTGCTGAGATTCTCTGTTGTGAGGTCGTCTTGGAAGCACAATTAAGCCCTTTCTGTCTCTTTTATCTCATAGGGTTCAAGGGTTCTTGTCGATGCCAGAGACAAGCTTGGCATTCCATGGCAGTATTCAGAAAATGAGAAGCACGGCATGTTCCTCCTGGCCTTTGAGAACAAAGCGGGGCTGCCGGTGGAACCCGCCACCTTCCAGCTCTACGTCCCCGCTCTGAGCGCTCTCTGGAGGGACTCCGGCATCAGGGAGGCTTTCAGCCGGAGGAGTGAGTTCCAGCTGGTGAGTGAGCCATGCCTGGGCGGCACAAGTGTGTTCGATGTGGCTGATGTTAACCTTTAGTAGAAGTTCCTTGAAGACTGTCCGAGCACAGGCAAGCTGCAGATTGCTGTAAATCCTAATGTTCAACAAAAAACATGTAAGGGAGGCAAATCAAGCTATCTTTAAATGGTTCAAGAGGGGCAGCATGAATTCAGGCTGGCTGAGTCAATGTTTTGTTCAAGGAGTACAAAAGACTCTTAAAATACTAAAATGTGGTGTAGCTTACGAAGCTCAAAGTGTTTAGGGCTTGTTCATAGCAGGAAATTACTGTCTCCTTAGAACCACTTTCGAGCTTGTACTGTGTGGCTCCTTGGGAGCTAATCTCAACCTTCCTAGTTGTTCTTTTCGGATTCTTTCCTTCCATTTTAAAGTCTGACAGTTTTGAAATGCCTGGTTGTCTCTCATTTAGATTCATAGAAGATATGCCTGTTTGCATTTTGTTTTTTTCCTAACTATCCTTCATTCTCTGTAGACCAAGTAAGTATCTGTTTGCCCTATCACTGGCACAGCTGTGCCTGTCCCTGCCCATCCACACCCCCACACCATCCCTGCCCACACCCCAGGGCTCCAAGTACCTGGGACTCTCACACCCTCTGCCCCTGGGAGCTGTGACCCCGAGTTTGGAGCCATCAGCCCCCTCCTTTCTTGAGAGTTTTGCCATAATATGTACTTTAAAAGTTTTCTCTATTCTCAAATGTTATATAAATGGTTTCATACTGTATATATGCTTCTGCAACCCGCAGTTCTGTGTTGCTGGCATGGCTATGGTTGATTCATTTCCACTGCAGCCCTCCTTTCTACTGTGGGAATAAATCAGGATCCATCCATTCTCTCCTAGGTGTGTGGTGGCCTTTGTTGTGTGTATGTCCTGAGACGCGTGTGCAGGGGTTTCTTTGGGACATGTCCCATATGAGCAGGATTGCCCGGTCATTGGGCACGTTGACCTCCAAATAGACAAGTTATGTCCGATCATTTTCCAGAGCGGCCATAGCAGTCTTGCCTCTCCCAGCAGCAGAAGAGATTCTCTGTTGCTCTCTCATCCTTGCTGATATTGAGTATTATTTATCCAACTTTAGAAATTGTAATAGTATCTCCTTCGGTTTAATTGAAATTTCCCTGATAATGTTTTTTGGCTACATGTGTTTTCTGGGCCATGCCTATTCATGCTTTTGCCAGTTTTTTCTAACGAGTGATTTGTATTTCTCTCACTTTCTGGAGAGGTCGTGCAGGCAGTCTGCGTGGTCATTTTTTCCATACAGTTTCCATATGCTCTTGACCCTGTCTCCCCTGAGGCTGTCAGTGCTGGGAGATAGGTGCTGTGCTGTACTGTGAATGGAGCTACAGACCTTACTCTAATTCCGCCATCCTCCCACAGGGGACTTAGCTATGTGCCAGGCTCTGGCTCCGGTCCCCACGCTGCCTTAGTGGTCATGCTCCTTATTCTCTGGTCACTGACAGTCCCACGTCTTTTCCTGGTTTTTGTGACCTCAACACTTAAAGAGCACTAGTCACATATTTTGTGGAGTGTCACTATTTGGGTTTGTCTGGTATTTCCTCATCATTAGAATAAGATGATGCATATTTTTTTTTGGCAAGAAAAACACAGAAGTGATGGTGTGCTTCATTTCAGAGGTTCAGTTCCTGGTGACATGAGCCTGCAGCACTCAGGGAAGGCCGTGCTTGCCAGGTTTCTCTGCTGTAAAGTTACTCTCCTTGTTACTATTAAATATTTGGGGGGATACTTTGAGACAATGCAGTTACCCTGTTTCCCCACAAGCTTTGGCCCACTCCTATTAATGTCCATTGGTGGATCTTACAGGTGACATTTCATAACCCTTTCTCATTTTCACTTTCTTTTTCAAGTTAACTTTAAAAATGCAGGTAGAAGAGTCAAAAGAACTGGAGGGTGTTGTTGTCATGGGAAGGAAATCTTAATCTTCTAAGGGACAGGAATATCAGAAACAACCAGGGAAAACAACCTCTAAGTGTGAATTTGGGATTCAGGTCTTTTTCCCTATAAACTGATATGTTTTGGGAAAGAAGGCAGAAATCGCTACAACCATTTGAGAGTTTACCGAAGGAGCAAGTATAAACATCCAGAGCGGATTATTTACAACTCCTGTTGAATAAGCGCTCCGTCTGGGGGGCGTGTGGTAGGGCGGTTTTGCCAGACTTCTGTCTGCCGTGTTATGTTGTGTGCAGCATCCTCAAGCAGAAGGGGCCTCCCTGCTGAGTAAGTCAAGGCTATGTCTTGTGAGTGATCACCATGAGGTACTTGGGCCTCAGAAGTCATTCTGCTTGTTTCTCCATTCATTCACTCACACAGCATTTAATGGAGCACCTCCTGTATGCTGGATACTGTGTAATATGCTGAGGATACAGCAGTGATGAGACCAGCCATGTGCCTGTCCTCAAGAGCCTTTAATCTAGACCTCACTTCGCATGGGGTTCAGCTAAGAGGCTGCCATAATATGAGTATTGGCCTGTTTGCGTCTTGTGCCCTCCACCAGCTGGGATCTCTGAGGACACGGTGCCTGGGGGTGGGGGGTATACCGTTCCAGGAAGCTAAGTGTTTTTCAGGACTATCCTAATGGGCAGCATTGACAGTGGGTTTGGTTCATCGAGTAGTAGGTATATGGGTGCTTATTGCCATACTTTGTACTTTTCTATGTGTTTGCTTTTATTTTTAAAAATTAGAGCATTTTCGTAAAATAGGCAGACAATAGGCCTTCACAGTCTTCACTGCTGAGGTGTACGGTCCGGCCCGTGAGGAGTGTGAGCATCATCATGCAGTATGATCAGCCCTCCCCTCCCCCGTCTGCAGCTCAACCCTGGTCTCTCTTCTCTGTGGATCTTTTTCTTCATGTCAAAACCTTTTCAGGGTGATGCTTCACCAACTTGTTTTTAGCTTTTTCTCTCCTCCCTGGCTGACAAGCTGAGAAATCCAGCAGCTCTGAGAATTGCTGTCGGCCAGGTGTTGGATTTTTTCCTGTTCCCTCTGCCCTCTGGGTTTTACTTGCCATTCCAGGCAGAGGCAGAAACAAAAAGGAGAAGAAGAAAGGCCGAGTCTGGTGACTGCCTTGTGAGGGCCCTTTTTCCTTGGTGGAGAGTTGAATGGGTGTGTGGGGAGGGGATTCTCCTGCTCCAGAGGGGGTCTTGCCCTTATGTGCACGCCGATGTCGACTGCCATTTCATACACAGAGTTTGATACAACCTCTGCAGCTCAGGAAAAAGAAAGATAACTGAGTATTTTAGGCCTTATCTTTCAAAATGCATTTATGTAAGACCTAGCAAGACACTAAGCCTAGAGGTTTTTCTCTTAGGTGTAACAAACACAAATATTATCTACTTTTATAGCCTTTTTCTAATAAAAGAGAATTTTGGAGTTTTAAATGTTCCTGGCAAATTATGAACTAGTTAATGTGTTTGTAATACAGAATATGGATAATATTTCCACAATTTGCTTTCTGTTATACTTTTGAATTTACGGTCTTGTTCATCAGAAGGGTACTCCTACCCTGAAAGGGACTGTGGGTTTGCACATCAGAGCCCTCCTCGCTGGGTGTGGGCAGGTGGACTTTCAGTGCCTTCTGCATGCCAGGCACTATGCAGAAGTCAAGTCCCATTTATTCTGAAAACTGGTAAGACAGACACTTTTGCAAACAAGTAATAGCAGGAAAATGTGCCAAGAAATATAACTGGGGAATAGACAGGCTACATAAGGCATAAAGGGAGAAAGTAGGCCATTCCGCCTAGGCAGGTAGGGGCCAGAGGAGATGTTTTGGAGGAGTTTTGTAAAGATTAGGTAAAATGAACCGTTGGGGACAGTCGGGAGCGAGGCAGCAGAAGGAACATAGCAGAAGTGGTGCGGGGCCTCGGGGGCTCCAGGGACTGCCCTGTGCCTTCCCTGGCTCTGCCCCCATCTCTGTGCTCAGCCTGTGCGGCTCTGGCTTCCCCTGGGCTTGTGAGGTGGTGGCAGCAGAATGAGGTCTCACCAGCGTGGCCACTACAGGAGCCAGGAGGAGACTGGGCATGGTGGCCAGGGAAGAACCACACAGGGATTGGTTCAGCCTGAGTTCACTCGACCCTGTTCCTCATTGTGGACAAGGGGCAGGCCTCACAGCAGTGAAGATCACAGCTACAGCACGTTCACTGTGGCCACACAGGCCACGTGGAGCAGCGCAGAGTCACCTGTAGGCAGCAGAGCCATTGAGGTGTTCAAAGCAGATGACCGATCTGTTTGCATGGTGAGAGAGTGAGAACTTGAACCAGCACAGAGTGGGTGATACACAGCCTCACCGCTTCCAATTTAGCACTACGCGGGGGAGGGGGAGGGTGTCCTTTTGCACAACTCTTTGCTTGTTATATCGTTAATTTTCATCTTCATCGTTGGACTCCCCCAGCCCCAAGACGCAGGGTGAACCGTGAGGAAAATCACTGGATGCTGAACTCTCTGGATAAATTAGACTGTTTTTGCTTTTCACCACATGCTTTTGACATTGTGGCTGGTCAGCTACATTGATGACTTGGTGCTGTTCTAGGCCAGGTGAACCTTTTTCCTGCTGGGAGGACTGGACAGCAATCCTGGGCGTTTGGTGCCTCCTGTTGGACTCCTCACATGACTTCCCACTGTCTGACTGTGGCCCAGCATTTGTGCAGATGGCGCTGCACACACAGGACAGTTATCCTGGATTGTGAATTACTTTTTACATCCTTTCTGTTCTTATTTCCAAGTGGCAGGGCATTGTGCTTTCTTGAGGATGTCTTCTCTTGCTGTGGAAGATGGGACCAAAGGCTCAGTTCAGAGGAGCACATTTATGTTGACTGCACAGGATTTCTTGATTTCTGGAAATCAAACGATTCTGCTCATTACACAGAATGATTTTTGTTTTCTGTCCCATTTGAAGGAATCAAGTCCCTGTAACATTACCAGAGGTTGCTGGGAAAGAGGCTGAGTGTTC